GATGTCATCCAATTTATTTCAGGTGTTTTAGCTTTGTTAATAAAAAAAATATTAATAAATTGAGCACAATACTACCTGATAGGTATTAATATAATATTATATTATTAATTTAAACACTTTTGTCTATTTTTTATATACTAATATATATATACTAATATATTGTGCAATCGTTTTGGTCCTATTTATTCTAGCACAACTATGAACCATTGCCTTTACAAAAACAAAATGTATTCTATAATTAAGTTGTTCAGTAGTTCTAACTGTATCACCCCAACAATTTATATCATACACTCAGCGTCACAAAAATCGCACCTCTCTGAGTTTGCGCGAAAAATGGCTGTAATGGCTAGAAACGAATTATATTTATATAAATATTGGTATGTTTGAAATGGGTATTTGAATAGCTTTACATTATTAATAAAAAAATCATGAAATCATTAAAACATTTATCATTATAGAGCGTCAAAAATAAACACTGTCAAATGCTCGTTAGTAATGACGCTAGTTACACCACCTAAAAAGGGTATAAAAGGGTCGATCTGGATGAAATATGTGTCCCTTTACAAGGTCTGTATACGACCAGTCATGTCCTACGCGGGCCCCGTCTTTGCCCACGCAAACCCTAATATTATAAATGAACTCCAAATAGTTCAGAACCTATTCTGTCGTCGAGCTGCGAACGCACCTTGGTACATCCGTAATGCCGACCTTCATCGGGACTTAGAGCTCCCAACAATTCAACAATTTCTTAAAAAACTCTCTGAGAACTTCTTCAAAGCCTCAGAGTCGCACCCAAACCAATTAATTCGTGAGGCAGCTTCTTATGCAGCCCCACCCCCCTCTCGCTATCGTGTCCGCAGGCCGAGAAACTCTCTCTCGGACCCGCCTAATAAACTGTCAAACGACCTGAACTGTCTCCTGGCGGCTCAGGCCAACTCTAATTAAATTAAATTATTGTAATAACTAACATTAATTTGCCTTCGTAGGCACTCCCTCAGCGGCACTTAGCCGCCTGCGCCCTCTTTTCCCAAAAGAGGGTCGCTCATGATAAGGCACAATACAGCTTAATCAGCCGGCTGCCTGTCCCAAAGGCGGTTTTTAGAGGGTATCACTTAGGGTCCCCGGTAGGACAGTGAGCCCCTCATAACCACGATAGACCGGCTATCGTGGTATGCGTAATGCATTTTCCGCTCCCTACGTATAGGGTAGCCCTTTAATAGCTTCGGGCGCAAAAAAAAAATGAAATATGTGTCAGTCGTAATTTAGACTTTGCAGTGAACACACGTGAACAAGTAACCCAAGTAAGAACAAGTAAAGATGGACACCAGCTCTGAAGAAGCCGCTCAAGTGATTGCCCTATTGCAGTCGGGGATGTGGCAGTGTGACAAGTGATTGCCCTATTGCAGTCGGGGATGTGGCAGTGTGACGTTGCTCGACAGTTGAACCTGTCCCGTTTTTCAGTTCGACGGGTGTTCCAACGTTTTCAGCAGACTGGTGGTTATGTTAGAAAACTGGGAACTGGAAGAAAACGGTGCACATCAGAAAGAGATGACCGTTTCATCGTTACGACATCTTTACGAATCCGTTTTACAAATGCTGTTGAGTTGCAACAACAGCTTCGATCAACTCTGAGAACATCTGTGAGTGTTTCTACGATAAGAAGAAGGTTACACGAAAAGAGTTTAACAGCCCATAGACCTGCTAAATGTCCAAAACTTACTGCACAGCATCGCAGAGATCGCCTAGAGTTTGCTCGCAATCATTGCGAGTGGACTCTAGAACAGTGGCGGACCGTACTCTTCTCTGACGAGACGAGGGTCTGTCTCTTCAGCAATGACAGACATAGAAGGGTCTACAGAAGACAGGGGGAGAGGTTCACACAACCCTGCTTCGAAGAATCCGTCGAAAACGGAACTTGTGTGCGTGTCCCGGACTCGGGGTGGCCGTGGGCAAGGGTCGTTAAATGCTGGTCGGTACATTACTGAAATTGGAGGAACATGTGGTCCCGTATGCTGGTTATGTCGGTGATGGATTCATGTTAATGCATGATAATGCTCGTTGCCACACCGCGGCTATTGTACGGGATTATTTACAGGAGGTCGATATCCCTGTTATGCATTGGCCAGCACGAAGTCCAGACCTTAACCCAATAGAACATCTCTGGGATGACCTAAAACGGCGCGTGCTAGCTCGAGAACCAGCTCCAACCACTCTTCAAGAGCTCCAAGATGCGGTACTTGAAGAGTGGGAAAGATATGTCACATCATATAAGTAAAATTGACTGTATAGTGGCGCTGTAAGAATATCCACTACAACATATCATCATGAGGATGTCTATAAGAGGCGACTGAGGGAAACCAATCAGAAGGGCAGCAGCATCTTCGTAATAGCAACTAAAAATAAAAAACTGCAGTTGCCAATATCCCTCCTATAAGGCCATCTATTAGGGAGGCCTATGTTCAGCAGTGTACTTTAATAGGCTGTGATGGTATGTAAGTTAAATATTCCACAAATAACTTGTATAAGAAGGTAAAGAGAGAATAATTTAAAAATGAACATACACACCTTTTAGGCCCTTTAATCTGGAATTCAATGTATAAATTTTACTAGATGGATAGATGGCAAGCTAGTATAATTGAAGTCTGTAAGTTGTCACCTTGCAGTGTTTGGAAGTTGGTTACCAAGTTCATACACAGGACTATGGCTATTTAGGTGCACTAGCCAGTCTACGTACCAGGAAACTGTTAGTGCCACTTTGTAATTATAAAGTCAAAAATATATTCCTATGCTTCCTATGTAGGAACCAACCCTCTCAGCTATTACTGCCCCCAAGCAGCTGTGTGTATACTACTGTGTTTTGGTCTGAAGAACATACGACCACAGTATAATAACTAGAGATGCCGCGAATAATTGTTATAGCGAGTATTCCAATACCGACTAATTGCCATTCCATATGGCAAATAGTCGAATAACTCGCCATTATTATTCGACACAAATAAATTAATATAAAAAATAATTATAATATCACACTTGTAGTAATCTTGAACTTACCAATCATTGATTTGTTACTGTATGCAAAAAATTTTCTTAGGTTATGACTTATGATAAAAGAAAATTATGAGGAAATCAGTCTCATGTTATACTGATTTTACATTTTTAAATGCTGGAAACCTTTATCTTGTACCTATTTAATTTAAGTTTAATTATTTTTTAGTTTATAGTTTTATTGTTCATTATTTTAGACAACTATTGCTGAACACTAAATGTCGAATAATTCTAGCTATTATTCAGTATTCAACAAATAACAAAAAAAAGTTGATTAATGCCGAATACCGAATAATAGCAAGTATTTGCAACATCATATAACAATAACAGTATGTGACACATTCCATTTCACACAGACACAGCCACAGCATCCACTTACACCAGGTGGACTGTGTGCTCGTTTGTCACCCATATACTATAGAAAAAAACAGCGAGAGCAACTTAAAACATCTTGTAACTTGTCGATTTTTTGAGTAAGACTGTATTTTATAAGAAATGGTTATTTTATATGTGGCAGAGCCATGCTGCAGATATATTAGTAGTACAGTTGTAGCATGAATGGGTCGGCTCGACCGAAGAAGGACCACGCTCTCACAGAATACCAGCGTGAAATAGTAGCTTAATGCTGCTGTATTTCATATGGTGAGTGTAGAGAACCGGAGACCCTTTTTCCTGGAAACGAGACATTCCTACTCAGCCCTCAACACATGATAGATGTAGATGTCTATGGGCCGCAGCAACCACTTACCATCAGGTAGACTGTGTGCTGGTTTGTCACCCAATTCTATTAAAAAAAATGCAGCCAAAGATAGTAAAGCACACTGATTTAGCTTAACAAAAGCGTATACACTCTTGCCATGAAGACACCTACATTATAATAACTGTCTCGCTTAACTTATATGATTGCTGTATTTTATTAAATAGTAATTTTTTTAAATCTTAAACTACTCAGCTCAACATGATGATATGTTATGATTAAACTCCATTTTTTTGTAATTATTTCACTATAGTGTATGTAAGGGTAGGATATCATATAAACAGTATCTATTTGGGGCATTTGTAATCCATATGTATTTGCTTAATGTATAGGAGTAATATTCATCAAGTAATCCAATCAGAAAACTATATGTATATATAAGGATAAAAATGTATGTAAATAAAGATGTAGAACTCTTCCTATATATTTAAAACTAATTACTAATTATACCAGCATATTATCAGTTAGAATAGGATGTTACATTTGTTATCTATAGGTGGTAATAATTACTAATGACATGGTTATAAATTATCATATAGTATAATTTGAAATTTCTATAAAGGATACTGCACCGTTGATTAATAAATATTTGACTTTTTTTGGATCATAATCCTCCTAAGGATTTATACAACTTTATTGCTTTTTAATAGCTACGTAAGGAACTAAGAAACACCCTTTTTTGGAGACAATGAAGGTGGGTAGTAATAAAATATAGCTCAACAATATATCATCATTATTGTACACTATTAAACATTTTTCAAGACATGGTCACGATATGAAAAGAGAACGGTATTATCGCAATTTAACAGCCCAATAAATCAGTAACATTTTTATACAATAGTGGGCAGAACAGAATGTGAGTCATTTTTCACACTCCAATTAAGTTACCCACAGTATCAATAATTATAAGCTAGGAAACCACCCAAATAATATTAAACCGAACGCACGAAACATTTTAAGCGTAAGTGAAATTACGACTTTGCAACTAGATTCTAAATACACATTTACATTTGCAATTTAAAATATGAATATATTTTAAAATTGAGGGTATACGAAAATCCTTGTGAGGTAAACGTAAGAATTAATTTCACAAACTTAATCATTAATGTCCACCCATTTTGAACATTATTTGGAGTAAAATCGAGAAAAACAGGAACATATTATTGTTAAATTATTTGACAACAAACGTGAAACTTACTTGTGTCGGCCGCCGCCGGCGTATCATCTCCGTTCTGCATCTTGAAAATTATTGCAATCGGGAGGAAAAGATATTTATCTGGGCGATAATTAAACAAAAACCATCAAAATTAAATGAAAAATCAAACTTCTTTTCAGGACAGAACCGTCACACACAAAAATAGAACGCGAATAAAAAACAAATGCAACCAACTTCGCGGCTTCGACAGGCAGCAGTAGTACAAACTTAACAAGAAAATTTTCGTTTCGTTCTTCCAAAATAACAAATTTTCATAATATTTATTTTTGACAACATTCATTAAATCGGCTTGAATATTATGTAATACGTATGAAATCTACTTATAATTTATACAGATCTAAGTGTCAAATTACACAAAATCTATAAATTTACTTTTCACATAAATTTAATTTTTGGTTAACTCAATAAAACACAACTCGTTTTCTTGATGTTTGCTGAATCGTTCTGGTGAACTCGTACAATCCCCATCCCATTACAATTAATCCTCTGCTGACATGGGTTTACTCGTAGACAGTTTCTCAGTCTACGGGTTTCCTTCTTGAAATACCTACCACAGAGTAAGGTCCTAAATTTCAGGTGTATAAAAAGTACTTTGTTGTCCTGACCAACCACCTGAACTCTGTATAAATGAGGACCTAATAAGTCTGCCATAGCCATGCTGTTCTCATAATTAGGTTTTTTAAACTTTGCACAATCTATATGGGATAAAACCTAAAGAAGACAGCGGCAACATATTACTACATAGACTTTAGGCTCTAAATATGACAGTTTTAGTTTTGCACATCCTTTATTACAAATATTTTCAATGAAGACTGCGGATTAAAAAAGCAGTAAAAACAAAATACACCAAATGCCAAGCTTCGTGATAAATTTATTACATATTAATTTATATGAATAACTAGCTGTTTCCGCGCTTTCACCTGCGTGGAATTATTTTGCGCGGGTGAATTCTAAAATAAAAGTAGCCTCCGTTACTCCTTATAACATCAGCTAAATATCTGCAAGTGAAAATCCCATTCAAATCGGTTCACAGATTTTTGCAAGATGCGTGTTCAGACAGAGGTCGTGTTAGAGTTTTATTATGGTGTATACTACAGTCAACGAGAAGCGATACACAATGTAAACGAATTCAATGCAAGGTTATTAGGAATAGCAGGGGTGCGTAACTTTTTGATACTTAGATTGTATATTTAAGTAGACAATATAGTTTTAAAAAATGTCTAGCAAACCAAAAAAAATAGACTTTTTATAAATTTTGTTATAATTTGAATTATTGGATAATGTAGATTTAAATTAAATAAATGCTTTCTGCACCATCCCTTTTCTGTATGGGTATTTATCATAAGGCCAAGTTTCTTTAACATACTTTTAGGTATTAATGACCATATTTTTTCATTCACAGTAAAACTAGTCACTTAAAATTAAAAATTAAATTAAAATGATATGTATATCATCACTTTACTTACATGCATCTTTAATAAATTAAGAAAATTTTATTATTACAGTTGCTGTTTTTTAAATAACTTTAAAGTACACTCCGAACCAAGAAGATTCGATTAAAACTACTAAACAGCATTCATATATGTCCTATTCCTATACATACCTTTGGACATTTCTTTTTCGGAGAAGTAAAATCTGTTGATTTATCTCTCGACGTACTTGGTTGTGGCTCCATCATTAACCACTCCTAATAAAAAAACAATCATCAACAAAACAAAATATCAATAATTAAATAAACAACAATTACTAAAATGGCCTCCCGAATGTTGGCTAACTCATTTTGACCCTGATATGTTTATGCCGGGAAAACGAGACATTACGACAAATACACAAGATGGACAGAGATAGATAATAGTCAACTTCAACTTCACAGTCATTTTTAAGGTAAATGACCTGACCCAATACGAATCGCTGCTTGTTGCCTTACTATATGATAATTGAATAATAACAAAACTTGTGAGTCATCAGATGTGTCTGATTATAGACCTGGCGTAACGTGTAACGTCTATGTCACACCTATGGTGGTAGCGTTGGGGGCACTAAGCTCGAAGTTGATGACAAGTATGTTTATCTGGGACGAATAGTCCGACTAGGTAAGTCAATCGACGGATTCAACTCGTCTGGGCAGCATTCGGGAAATCACGACACATCTTCTCGTCAGGTATACCTCAAAACCTGCAAACAAGATTGTACAACCAGTGCGTGTTGCCAGTGATAACCTATGGATCTGTGACATTGTGGGAAGCTCAAGGTCGCTCAGTGAGCTATAAAGAGGGCTATGCTCGGAGTTTTTCTGCATGATAGACTTAAAAACGAGGATATCTGCAGTAGAACCAGAGTAACCAACATAGTCCAATGGATTAGATACCATATATTCCAACGGATTAGATATCGGAACCATATAGCTCAAACCGACAACCGATAGGAAAAGTTTTCGAATGGCAGCCTCGTACTGGCAGGTCATGTGTAGGGCTTCCCCGCACTAGATGGAGTGACTACCTGGTACTTTGAGTATTCAATCAACTGGAGAGGCCGTTCGCGTTAATTCCTAGACAAAAAGTCTGTCAATGTCAAGGGGGCACTAGAAAAACACACTACTGTATACTTCACTACAAATGCAAAATTGAATCGCGTCATTATAAACGCACACTACAGCATTTACGTTTGTGTTCGTTGCATTTACGCACGGCATTAAATTGTACACGTGTCGACACACTGATACCTCTGTCTACATGCGTAAGCAACGTAAGGTGAGGACTACGTCGATATTGTTATCAATAAACAAATCATCATAGTCCGCATAAGTTCAGGGTTGGCAAAAGTAATTTTTAATCTTTTTTCATTCATTACCTACAGCCCTTCACAAGTCCGCTGCTGAAAATAGGCCTCTCTCAAGGGGTGCCACAAAGCGCGGTTCTGATCCACCTGCATCCATCCACTTCCTACATGTACCAGGTCGTCACTCCATCTATTGGGGGTTCACCCTACACTCCACCCACCGGTACAAAGCTACCACTCGAGAACCTTTTTCCACCATCGGTTGTCGATTCTTTGAACTATACGGCCGACCCATTGCCACTTCAGCTTACTAATCCATTGGACTATGTCGATCTCACTGGTTCTACTGTCAATCTTCTTATTTCTATATTTATCATGCAGAAAACCCCGAGCATAGCCGTTGCCGTAGCTCGCTGAGCGCTTGAGCTTCCTCATATGGCCAACAGTGAAGGGTTTTTAGTGTAATATAAAATTATGATTTTATTAGTAAATATAATTATGACCAGTTTTTGAAAGACTGATCAAACTCAGATTTTAATTCAAATTTAATCAAAAAGTTGGCTATGGGTACTTTCCACGTTGTGCTTATACCGAGCAATAAAATCACCAATGCGTCAGTAGCTTAATAGAAATTATCGGACATAATATCAAACTTGTAGTCGACATAGCCATAATGACTTTAGCCGCTAGCACGGTATTTCATCAACTGCTTCATTTTCATTTCATCCATGACCTAGATACAATATTGTTTTTATCAGGGTTACTCTCCGCTTTCAATTTTAATGTTGTCAGCGCTCCTTGAGTAAACCCTGGTCGGCCCACTTAGTCAATGTCCGTGGAGCAGGCAAACATGTTCCAAAAGTTTTACATACATAGCGACAGGATTTCCGTTAATAATCAAATGTTAGAGCGAAACGTATTTATACCTCAGGCGTGACTATTATCAGTTTTATTTAAATTTTTATAGTTAATTATTATGTAAAGAGCATGCAAATAGTAATGTAAGTGTTATGAAAGAGTGGGGTCTCCTAATACAAGTTTTTATACTTAAAAGAAGACCCCATTTATGATTGATCATTAACTGAAAAATAATTTTTATTTATTATTATTATTAAACCAATATTAGAAAAATTCATTGCTTTTTGTAATACTTTATTATAAAATCTAAACAAAAAATAAAAATGTGTTCGGCAGACAAACCCGAATAATTAACTTATAATTAACTTATCGATAGCTAAAGTTGTGGCGTACATTACTACATTGCAATACTTTCGGTTTCAGTGATACCAGTTAATTTTACAAAAATTGCATACATTTTCTGGAAGTGGCAAATTTCGGTTCGACTTATTTGACCTTAATTTTGTAAAATATTTTGATAACGACTAGTTATCGATTGTATTAAATTATAATATAATCAGAATTGTGTTGAGGATGAGCTGAATATTTAAATCATTTGACAAAATCTAATACACATTTAAATGCAATGATTATTACTCATCACAAAATGTTTTAGTTAATGTGGAATACATTTTCGTTCATATATTTATTTTGTGTAGTAAATTATATTTATTTTAAAATCGCTTATGTTTTACTTCATGAACTATGCTGGAAGCATTTGGCATTGGAAAAGTATTCAGAAAATACGAGTTTTAACGATAATATTATGTCAAAAGTATCCACAGTTGAAAAGTCACGTTGTCCTTTTGTAGATTTGACGGTTTTGATTGTTTTTTGAATGAAAATACACTGCAATTCGGCTTTTTGTCGAAGCTCAATTGACTGGCACGATCATTTGCGTAATGGCGCATGACGCGGAGCAAATAGTTTTATATAACGGGTATGAGTCAAACTCTCGTACCTTTGACAGAGGGGTATGCCTTGCGATGCCTTCTCCTTTGGTTTAATACTCAAACACCTGGTAAGACATTCAGGAAGTCGATGGATGCCGTTTACACCAGTTTGTAATTAGTTATCGATATAAATGGCAAATATTGCTATTCACCCATGTCTCTCTTGTATAAAATCATTTTTTAAATTATGTTTTCTGATTTATTTAATATATATTGTGAGCTATATTACAATATAGTTTAATATTAAAATTGTATCAAATTAAATATTGGGTGTTTTTAACTGCATGAGACACTGACTTAGAAGTATATGGACTGGGCATTCCTACATTATTAGCGTGACTACGAACAAAAATCTGGCGCATAAAATGGCCGCCTATTATAGGGTTGTAACAGC